ATATCGAGACATCTTAGCTTGGGAGGAAACAGGTTTTTTGGAGAGGGAGAGAGAGAGAACACTTCCAGACTGTCACTATTTTCAGGTGGGATTCAATCACATACCAGTAAATTCAGGTTACATAATTATAGTTGATTGAGAGGTCTTGCACTACAAACCAGCTCCCCACAAATATTGACTTTTTGCAATAAGGAAAGTGATGGGGAAATGGCCTTGAGAGCCTGGGACAAAGCACTTTCTTTGACACAACATTATCTAGCCTCCCCACAAACAAATCAGAGGGAATGCTTACTGAATAGCCAACCTTGTCTGCCTGCAAACAAATAATGATGAATGTTCAATAAACAGGTGATCTGGAAGTACCCAAAGAGTGAGCCAAAATACACCAGCCTAGGAAAAAGGAAAAGCAGAAAGGTGAAGTGAAAAACTAAATGTTATAGTCTGGGACAAACAGTTTTCCCAAGATGTTTTTAATTGAAAAATTCCAAACATTAAAAAGAACCCCTTAACATACAGTCTTAAAAATAAGCTTTTAAAGGTTTTTAACCTTCAATAGCTGCACTTTCATTGGAAAGGTATTTTAACACTTCAGCTCTTAAATATAATGAGCAGCTCGAGGAATGATACGTGCATTCAGTAAAATGTGTGTGTGTTTTCTGTATACTGTATATTCAGCTGCTGTCCACTTTAATAGTAGTTCCCAGAAAATAGCAAAGGAGGCAACATTTTTTCTTATAGTGGCAGCAATACTGAACTCCCCAAAATTCAAAAAGCACTCCAAAACAGAGCTTTCTGGGAGAGACAGAATGGCAGCTATTCCGATTTACCTTCCTGAAAAGAATTTTACCTCAACCCCTGAATATAGCCAAAACAAGGCACAGCCTTAAGCAAAAGCCCTTGGGGATGAAGAGCAGAACCACTTGTCTTGGGCCACATAATGGGAGTCAAAGCTTGGGATAAACCAGTAGCCCATCTCTCCTCCCAGGGCTTGACTTTGTCCCTAGCCTGCAACTCTCACAAGGCAGTCAGGTGATGCGGAAAGTTTATTCCTACTCCACAAGCAGCCTACCCCACCCCTTGGCAGTGGCGGACTTTGGGCTCTCAAATTTCAGTGGTGCCCTGCATGCCATTTGAGGACAGTAAGGTGGATTCTGGCTTGGCTCTTGATCTTCAGCACATACTCCTTTCCAAAGACTTGATAAAGCCTTGGCATGTTGTGCCCAGCAACATCTTTAGAGCCATAGTTTTAGTGGCGGCGGCAGCAGAGAAGATGGTGTGCGGCAGGGGCAACATTGTGGTTCCACCGTGGCAGGTGCTAAGAGCACAATAGCTCATTCAGCAGCTGTGATCCTGGGACGAGGGTTTGCAAGTCAAGCCAGTTTAATCTGGAGTAAGGGACAGAGGGAATTAAAGTATGGGGTCCTCCTGCTGGGATTTTTACAGAGTCCCTTCTTAGCTATAAATCCCTTTAAAAGGAGGGGGGGTCTTTAGAAAATCCAGCAGGAATGATCAGCAAACCCCAGGACCTCCCTACCTCCCTTGCTCTTCCTCCCCACTGGAATTGCTCTCAAACAAATGAAACGTGTGTAATTAATGGGCCAGGGGGCTGGACAGGTCCCACATGAAAGCGTTTCCTGGACTTCTTCTTCATTTGCATGGCATCAGAAGCTGTTCAGAAGGTGTGACTTTTCCCACGGGGGAGCCCTGGGCTCCATGGCACAATAAAGGCAGCACTTTGTAACTAGAATTAATTAAAGGAGTGGGGAGGGCCGATGGAGCAGGAGGAGGGCACAAGGCACGGAGGAAAGATGTTTGAAAGCTGAGCCCTGTGCAATAAACAAGCACGCTGGAGCCACCCTTGTAGAGTGGAGGCATTCCAGAGGCCATCCAAGCAGCAGAAGCAGCTTCTATCTTTGACGCGGGGCCCTGGCATCATGGCCTCTTCCATTCTATCCCATGGTTTCAGCTTGCTTTTCATTTTGCCTGACAAAGAGTTCTGTGTAACTGTGAAGCTTGTATACTCCTGCACTTCAACATAGGTTGGTGGAACTGTGCATCTTTGCTTGGTTCAGAGCTGCATGGCTATGATCAATTGAATGATGGACAAAGTGCCAAAAAGGGAGATCAGACAGGATATTTTCCATCAGCAGGAAGGGAGTATTCAAAGAATCAAGAGCCTTTTGTAAAGAGACTGGGCTAGGAGAAACCAGATGAAACATTGACTATTTTATGGAAATCACTTGAAATCATTACATGTCTTAACTAGATTCCTAATCATAAAAGTAGTGTGACCCCCCCCCCCGCCCCTCGCATATATGAAATCTACAGTGATTTCTGAATGTGCACTAATTTCGGCAGAGAACATTGCACTTTATTAAGCCACAGTTAGGAGGAAGGTTGTAGAATATGAGCTAATGGGAAGGCAAAACCTATCTAATCCACGTCACATCCTAAAAGTATGGAGTAGTGTGATTCTATGTCTACTCTGAAGTCTCACTGAGTACAGTGGGACTTACAACTAAGTAAGTGGATATATAGGATAGCAGCTGGGTAAATCACATAAGTAATGAAGAGGTAGAAATAGCATATGGAAGCATTTATTCCAGATGATAGCTGCCACCCAGAATGGAAACATTTACCTGGAAGTTATTCCTGTTGAACTGAATGGAATATACTGCTGAATAGGCGCATTAAGGATCACCCTGTAATTTATCCCAAAGTAAACTGTGGATATAATACACCAAAGAGACAGCAAATAATACTATGAACTTAGAGGTCAGTCTGGTGCAGAGCTCTCCCTCCTATTCAGGATCATCACAGCCCCACAGTCTGTAAGAGTTGGCTTCCCTTATTTCCAGCTCGTGCACAACTCACTCTTTGATCTAGAAACCTTAGTATCCACTCAAGTACAAACAATTCTGCAACCGTATAGGGAATTTATACAAATGAATAAGTAAGGGTGTTCAATAAAGGTTCTGCAACAGAGGCCACAGCCTAGCTAGGTTTTGCTAATACTAATTGTACAGGGGACTTTGACTATTGTATAATGACAGACTTCTTGGGGGTGTTGCCTTTTCATCAAAGAAACGCTTTGCAAGGAAACTATTAATTATACCTAGCAAACTGCCACATCCCCCCACACCATCCTGATGCAAGAAGGGCCCATGTTAAATGGTTATCAGCTTTGCCCTCCCAAACAGAATGGTTTGAACTGCCCATAAAACTTGAAGTGATACGGAAGGGAGCTCCAATTTCTTCCTTTTGTGAAAAACTGGATATCCAGTTGCAGAAGCCTTGACTTTACCAGTTACATAATTCTGGGCTCCTGTTCTCGTTTCTGCTGGTAGTCCAGATTCCTGTAGATGCCTGTAGAGCAGGGAGGGGGGAGCTGGGGCTTCCAGATGTTGCTGGACTATAGTGTCCATCAACCCTGTACAGCATGGCAGGTGACCAGGGATGATGGGGGGGTTGTAAATCAGCAACATCTGGAAGGCCACAGGTTCCCAATCACTGCTGTAGGGCAATTCCAGAGTGAATCACAGGGATGTCCTCTCTGCTTCTAAGCTGGAAACCGAGCCAGTGAGAATAGTTGGGCCTGAGTTCGAGAAGATGCCTGGGTTGCGCTTGCAGCATCTTCATCCTCAGGCTTTTCTTATTAAAAAAAAAGGGGGTGGGGAGAAGGGAACCTTCCAACCTCCCCAGCCCCAAACATTCTACAGACCAATGTGCATAAGATTCTCCCCCAGAACTCTTTCCCAATTAGGAGCATGTCACACTCTCAAGGCATACACTCTCAAACTGAAGCTCACCAACTCCTGCCTCCCATCCCATTTTCAAATGTGTTTCCCTTGCAGGGGATCTTTCATGCCTTGTGGCTGCTTCTCTTCCTTGCTGTTTATGCCAGTTCACCTGCCCTTTCTAAGTGAACAAGCAGTACAAGGAACAGGAAGCAGCAGCAACATCTGCACTCCCTATCCTCCGGGAGGTGGTCTGATTTGGAGAGCATGCAAAATGGTCAATGGGCCCCTCTACACTGGTGTGCCTAGTCCCCATCCAAGCTAGTGACCGTCACCACGTATTGCAGCAGTGAATGCCACAAGTTCGTTGTGCTGTTACAAAGACTAAGGCCTCAAATGCAAACTCTAGATAATATTTTAGAGACTAAGACCTAAACCACATTTCTAATGGCTGTCATATTCGTATTGTTTATTGTCATATTCGATTGTTAATTTAAACTTAATCCTATTGTGTTTTATGTTCGCTTAGTACGGTATGTGAATCTGGTCTGGGACCGTCATAATTTTTTTTTATTATTATTATTATTATTATTATTATTATTATTATTATTATTATATATCACAATATTTATTAGCTCCTAAACCATAGTGTAGTCCTGTGCATGTCTCCTTAAAAGCCAAACTCCTTAAGTTCAACGAGACTGGCTCCCAAGTAAGTGGGCAAAGGATTGCATCCTAATGCTGTGTATGTATTTGTTGTTGTTGTTGTAGTAATGATGATGATTATGTCAATTTAAATGAGTGTTTGTAGTAAGTGGGTCATCCTCTCCTTTTTGGGGGGAGGGGTGCTTCTGGCTTTTAGCTACCAAAATGCTTTTCATTCAATTTCCAGAGTATTGATAATTTTAGCCAGCATTTCAAAGTTTCCTGTAGCCATACGAGCTGCCCTTCCCAAGCTGTTAAGAATCTGGACACCACCGCAAGCTTTGAAAAAAATACTCCCATTCCAAGACTTTTCAAAGGCGACAATTAGTTACATTGTTAAAATGTCCACAAGAAACACAAGCAGCTGTTGTGATGACCTGTCCCCAGAGAGCCAAAGCCAGGTGCCAACCCTTAAAGGATTTGCAACCCAGTTTTTTCTCACCTCTGGTGTTTGCAAATTTCCCCCTCCCAATCTTTTGTCTTCCTCCAGCACCACCCAAAAAAAAAGAAAGAGATTCCTAGCCCTGCTAGAAATCACACAGCCAGAGAGAGCACACCTCATTTATACTAGTAGAAAAATTTAATGCACATATTAAATAAATATTTCAGACCATTTCATATTCAATTTGTACACAGTAACAATTTTTCTAAAAAAAAATCCCTCAAGGAGACAAACTACCCCACAAGAAAGATGTGCTGTGACAAGCCAGCTCACAGCTTCCACACACTGAAGTTTTCAAAAGTATCTTTTCTTTTGTTGTTATTTTAAATAATCCTTTGCAAAGCAGTACCCCTTTCAAACCAAACGTCCAGCTCAGCATCTCTCCCTCCCTCCTCGCCCTTAAAAGTATTAGTTAAGCCTTCTGAAGTTCCTGATTACACAAAAGATGCCACCATTCAGCAGCCCATTCAAGGCTTGCGTAGCTGGATCTAATCTAGCCTCCCTGCAGAGAAATAAACTGGGACACAGGCAGTAAGGCAAGCAATATTTTCTGTGGCGATTAAAGGCCAACATCAGCATCTCGTACACAGAAACCCCCGTCAGTATAGGGCAGGGCTGTCCAAATTCCAAGAGACTGATCTACTCCCACTATAAAGAAACTGGTAGTGATCAGAGTTGTTGAACTTTTTTTAGGAAGCCAAAGTTTTGGGGGGGAGGGTAATTTGTTGTTACAAAGTTTTGGGGGGTAATTTGACGAGGTCCCAAGATTGACCAGGATCGACCATGGACCAACCTGTTAGACAGCCCTGATTCTCAAGGGTTTCTTGGCCAAAGGAGGATCTGCAAGCAAGGCTGCAAGTTCTTAACAAGGTTGGTAAGTGAGGGGCCAGGCAACATTTGTGAGGAGTCAGATATGGGCTGAGGAGAGGTTCAAATTGCTAACACCAGTTTAGTGGGAGCAAGGCTTCCTTTCTTATTTTCCTTTTGGCTTTTTAGGGGCCCAGCCATCCTCCATGCCTGTAACATGAGTGAGATCCCAGTTCAGTCTCATTGGGAAACTTGGGACAAGAAGCACCTTTGATGAAACGGGTGTAATGGGGAAATATATAACATTTGAACTCAGTGGCACTTTATTGTCATAACAAATACAAAAGAAATGGTCTACAGAATAATAATAAAAATGCAGACCTCTGGAGACATGATCAGCTTGGATAGAACATACAAAGCAAAACTAGCGGCCCTCATCTCAGCACCACCTCTGTTCATTCATTCATCCTTGGGGATTCTGCTCTCGCTCTCTCATTCAGAAATGGAAACAGTGACTTCACATCCCACCCTGTTGGTGCCTGCAAGTCTCTCTCTGGCTACAAAGGGACTTGCACTCATTTGACTCTGAGAAAGGCCACAGTCTGCAGGTACCAGGAACATCCACACAGACCCATCAAAATAAATGGAACTTGCACAAAAGCTCTTGATGGGTTGTGTTTCTATTACGTTTGTTTTATTTGAGGTAGAAATTTGGTCCCAAAATTTATTATTTGATTGAAGAGGGCAGGTTCTATGCTTACCCCTAGATCAACTACCTCCTACCCACCCCCACCCCACTTTTTTTTTAACAGTCTATTAAAACATAACACGCCCCCCATGGACTCAAAATGTTTCTTAAGTGAAGAGCAACCCTTCACAAGTCTTTTAACGTTACAGTGCTTTTTCTTAAAAAAGCAGTAAAGTTGGAATACAAAAATAGAGCCTCTTTTTGTTTTTTAAAAAACACAAAACAAACAATTATAAACAACTAGATCAAGTTTGGTTTCCCCCTCTTCTTCCACCCTCGTTTTAATTATCATCACAGGTTAAGTCTCTAGGCATTGTCCATCAGTTAAAAGTCTCTACAGAATGTCCTCCAACAAAAAAAGGGAAAGGAGGGTGGACCCAAGTGGCACTAAGGAGGGTGGTGGGTCAGGGGGTGGGCTTGGGGCTGGAGTTCCGAGTCCTTTTACTCCTCCGGTTGAAAGGGTAATTGAGAAATTCGAAGCGTCTGTGAGGCTCTGTCGTTTGGTGGCCCTTGGGTAGCCTCTTCATGAAGTGCACCTCACGCTGATGCTGGCGAGTCTTGGAGCCCTTGCGGGGACGCCCCTTGCGGGTGAAGGCCATGTACCACCCTTCGTACTTTGCGTTCTGCAATGCTGTGTAGTTGTTCTCCAGCACAATCTCGGTGAAGACACAGTCCTTGCCTTTGCCGTTGCTCTGCAGGTGGGAACAATAGGAGACAAGTGAATGGAGATGCCCTTCATCTTTTCCCCATGTCTCCCCATGGAACCAGAGCCAGGTTGTCCTGGTCTAAAAATAGGGGGGCAGGGACTTTGTAAGTAGTGATAGCGCTTAACCATGCTTTGAACATTGTTTGACCTGGGTGCTATTATGCCAAGAATGCTTATCGTCTGACAAACATCCCCCAATGATGTACCAAAGCAAACAGTTAAGTCTGTTTTGTACTTTGTATTATCCAGAACAGTCAAGGCATCCAATTCAAAGTTTGTGGGAACCCCAGGAATATAAATTACAAAACTGGGGGTATCCATGATTTTAATATTAGTATACCACTAGTACTAATACCTCCTGTTTAGCTATCTAAACATTCAGTTCAATAAACACACATTTCCATAAATCCCTGGACATCTGATATTACCTTATCCAACCTCGCAGGCACAAACTAAACAGTTCGCATCAAACGGGTTTTCTCTAGCTATTTATTGGTTCGTGAAGTTGTCTCTGGCTAAAGTGTAATGTGTAGATCTGCCGTAATGTGTAGATCTATATTGAAAAGGCCACCTTCAGAAGGTGCAAAGTGTCCTTAGCACTTATGAGAAACTCGACAGACCTGGGATGTTGCTAAGGATTGCTTTGTTTGAATGCAAACCAACTCATGAGGGATGCATATAGGATTGTTTGGTGGCTCACATTCAACCCCAACCTGACACTTCACACCAACTGGCAAACTCAGAGGGGACTTAAGAGGAATCACCTAGATTGTGAATTTCTACTGTCCTCAGCCTTACACTAGCAAAGAGAGTGGATGATTATGTGCAAAGATTATGCTTAATATTACTTGGAAATGTTCCCCACCATCCCACCTCTGCCCCACCTCCAGAATACTGCAGAGAAATCTGCAGCTATGCTCAGACCTACTTCAGCACACTCACACTAGGATTGTTGACACCATTGGTTGATAGAAGATATACAGCTAGTCAACCCATCAACTACCAACCTAGTCAATACAGTGGTACCTCTGGTTATGAACTTAATTCATTCCGGAGGTCCGTTCTTAACCTGAGGTACCAACTTTAGCTAATGGGGCCTCCCGCTGCCACCGCGCGATTTCTGTTCTCATCCTGGGGCAAAGTTCTTAACCCGAGGTACTACTTCCAGGTTAGCGGAGTCTGTAACCCAAAGTGTTTGTAACCCGAGGTACCACTGTACATGAGAAATGAGGCAAGGGCAACAAGCACTTATTGGAATGCAAGCAATGCAGCCACCTGTCCCCTGATTGCTTCTAATCAGGAACAGATCACACAAGCAGCACCCAGGACAAAAGTAAAAGGAAGAAGAGGACATCTAGGTTGAGGAAAGCTAAGCTGTTGGAAGGTCATATGGTTAATTATCCATGGCTGAGCAAGTAATTCTACAGAGAGGAGAAACTGCAAGGTCACTGCTGGCAAAGCAAAGTAAGTGCTTATACAGGAAGCAGCATAGGAAATTGCCTTAAACAGAGTTGGGCTATTGCTCTGTATAGCTCAGGCTTCCTCAAACTCGGCCCTCCAAATGTTTTTGGCCTACAACTCCCATGATCCCTAGCTAGCATGACCAGTGGTCAGGGATGATGGGGACTGTAGTTTCAAAACATCTGGGGGGGGTGAGTTTGAGGAAGCCTGGTATAGTTCAACATTGTGTTTACATTGATTGGCAGCGTCTCTCCAGGGTTTCAGAGAGGGGTCTTTCACAGCCCTTTCTGAAGACTGAGCCTAAGAGGGACCATTTACATGTAAAGTGTGCACACTACCACTGAGCTACAGCCATTCTCTGCCTTTGTGGCTTGGTTTTATCCCAAGGGGAAATTTAAATATATATGTATGTGTGTGCAGTTCTTCCCAAGATTTGAAATTCTGCACTACAGTAGTAGTGCAATGAACAGAATTTAATGAACAATGTATATTCTTCAGCTAGGACACTAGGGCTTTTGTGGACTGTTTTGGTAGAACTAGAACTATTTTTGCAAATGCTGATGGGCCAAAAAAATAAGCGTTTTTCTAGATGCCGCTGAATACCAGCTGCTAGTATTCCCAGGTGGGCAGAGTGCTATTGCACTCATGTCTGGCTTGCAGGCTTCCCATTGGTATCTGGTTGGATGCTGTGAGAACAGGATGCTGGACTCATCTTACGTTCTTAGACAGGTGCTAGAAAAGTGGAGTTGCTTCATATGGGCATTCTTTAAGGGTAAACCCAAGGCTATGATGTGGGGTGATAGAGAACAATGTTTCAGTGCTGGACCCTGAGAGAAGCAAGCTGCTTTCTCAGCCCCCAGCATGGAAGCCAAGGAAGCTGCTGGTGGAAGAAGAGAGCAAGCACTTCTCCAATGAACAGCCCACTGTGTTTTTGTGTTGGGTAACAAGAGAAGAGAGCGGGGAGAAAGGAATAGGAGTAGGCAGCAGAATAAGAAAAGGGGTGTTACTACTAGTTTGCAGCCCCATAGCATGTTCCTCAAGCATGTGACCCTTGAGTTTAAAAAGGCCCCCTACTTCTGCTGTAAAGTCTAATTCAATCATGCTTTTTTTCCTCCTCTTGGTAGCAAACACATTCTAAGTTCTACTTCCAAGAAGTCTTAGATCTGTACTCAGGGCCAGTTTACACACATCAGCAAAATCAGCTGGTAAAGCTTTTCCTGAACTGTATCATTTCTTATTACAGCATATTGAAATGCTTTTTCTGAAAGCAAAAACTCCCCAAACACCACGTTACAAACAAGACCAACAGTGCCATCCTAAATATGTTTATTCAGGAGTCGCCAAGTTCAATGGATCTTACTCCGTAGTATGCTTGATTAGGGCTTGGACAATTTCTTTTCTTTCTTTGCAGTGGGAGAAAATGTCTCCTAGCTAGCATCTTTGAACAGTGAAACAGATGACAAGTAGGTGTCAGATAAAGGAGATGCTTGAGGATAGCTGTATTTATAGGGAGTGGAGAGGAGACCTTCTAGGCCAATTCTTGGGTTTTCATTTGGTTTAGTGTATTCTGCTTTTTTAATTGATCACAGGGTGTGATGCATTTAATATGAAACAACAATGCATGTGCATAAGTGGTAAACCAAACCATACAAATGCAGAGCAGGTCACCACAGCAAATCATCAGATCCTAACTGGTTTTTGGATAGTATATTGTTTTTTATATAGTATATTGCTTTGGTATTTTCATTTATTATTTGCATGGTGGTTGAGGCGAGACTTTTGTCATCAGAAATGGGCTTAAGTTGTGGGATGGCAGATTTTAGGAGAAATTGTCTTAGTGGTAGGAACATTTCCTCCCTTGGAACTAATCACAAAGGGAGTTGTGATTAGTTGCTGGAAACCTTCTGTCCGAGACTAGACAGCCATTTGCTGGGGATGCTCTAACACTAATGAATAGATAGATAGATAGATAGATAGATAGATAGATAGATAGATAGATAGATGATAGATAGAAAATGTATGTAATCTAATGTATTTCCTGCATATGTAATTGACTTGGGAGTTGTCTAAAAGACTGCCCCCTCCCCAACCCAATGAATATATGATGCTATGAATGCCACAGGCTCTATCAAATAGGTGCTTGTGATGGTCTCACAACAACCCTGTACATTGTAACCTCAAGAGGAATGGAGGCAGTAGGTGGCATCATGTTTCTCAGCAATACAGAGTTGCTGCTTGAGTGTTGGGGAAATGAGACTTCCCCTCCAATGGAGACATAACCTGAAAGAAAAACCATCTGATACCTCCCATAGCAAGAGGTTAGTGTGTGTGCTTGTGTGTGTATGTTCAAGCCTTTTAAATTGTCTGCTACTTCTGGCCATGCGAAAGAGGGCCTCCAGATACTTGCCCAGCATATTAATGATGGAGAAGAGTTGATGCAGCAGATTTTCAGTCTTGGAATGTTTTTGTCATTGAGAGTAGGCTGGGGCTGGAGTGGCGCTGCTCTAATGGACCAACCTCTACTGCTCCTCATCTTTAGACATTGCTTGAATTTCAGCGCATGTGTGGTTCTGACTAACCACAGCAGTATCCACATGAAATACAGCATAAGTGAATGCATGTGAACAAGCTCGCTTCCAGCTTCAGTTGTAGGCCCTTTTGCCCTTCCATTCCCATATTTTGTTCCTGAGAAGATTGTCCTGCTCCTCCCCTTGTCACAGAGCAAGCAATTCCTACCCCAGAAGCCCCCTTACCTTGCCAATCAGCTTTCCTTTCTTGTTCATGCAGATATAGAAGCCTGTCTCAGCCCCCTTGATTCTTACTCTGCTCCCAAATGTGTCGGTCTCCACAATGAGCTTAGCTGGAGCGGGAGAAGATGGCAAGAAAATGAGTCACATGAATGTTACAAGATGGGCACCACATACAGTACTCCAAGAGGATAATTTGTCTTCTAGAAATAGCATTTTCTTAGGCAGCACGGACCACACAACCAAAGGGAAGGGATGCTGTGTCCCTCCTTATAGCATTTGTTACAGTAGCCTTCTATCAAGTCAGACCATTGGTCCTTATAGCTCAGTATTGTCTACAGTACTTTTCTGCTAGACAGCAGAGGGTCCTGGTTCTAACTGGAGGTGCCGGGGATAGAACCTGGGACCTTCTACATGCAAAGCAGATGCTCTAGCACTGAGCTATGGCCCTCCCCTAAGAGAAGGATCAGGGTGAACTAATTATAAGACCAAGTGTCACATTCAACCTTGGCCACCCTTCAAAAGCGACCTGCTAGTGATGGGTGTGGCCAAAAGTGGGTATGTCTAGTACCCCAAACCTGTCTTTTAAACACACACATATATACACACACACAAACACACAAACACACATCCCTCTCACCTCCATGCACGTCAACTGAGGAAGAGAGCTATTGCCTCCTCTCCTCTCATCAAATGATTGATTCAATGGCTAGGGTAGGAGGTGATTTGCATCCCCCCCACCATCAAGGCACTAGGCTCTCCTCACCCAAGTGCTGTGTCTATTTTAAATTTCTTTTCTTTTTGCTGCCACTGTCATCAAAATCAAGTGGAGAAGCCTGGGGAAAATATGGCATACATAGTGACTACATGTACTGGGTGGCTTCCTAATTGTTCACCCATAGTAGCAGCAACAAACCAACAATTGTGCTTCCATTCAAAGGTTGCAAAATCTCTTTCTTACTTATTATTTATTTATAAAAAAATATTTCTATACCGCTGTATCATAAAAATATATCACAATGGCTTACAACGATATAAAAACATAAACCCAGACAATAAAATCTTAGAAAGTTAAAAACTAGTTAAAAACAAAAGGAAATTAAAAACAAACATCAATAGACCATTGAGGGAGATGTACTCTTAATTGCCTGCATAGGCCTGGTGGAATAGAAAAGTTTTCAGCAGGCGTTTCAGCAGTCCTGTTTCTTCGGGAAACGGACATCTTAAATTCAGCAATAGACAGAATCAGACCTATTTTCAAGAGTTGGCCATGCATGATGGCCATTGCAAGTCTTACAGCGCTGGATGGAATGTCTTATATACTTCCATTTCTGAAACCAATGGACATCCAGTTGCTGTTTAGAGCAAAAGATCCCTTGTCCTCTCATTATAGAGAACTAAGTGGGCACATGTCTGTGGCACACAACACAGAAAGGCTACAGGACACAAGGTTAATATAAAGCCCTGGCCAGTAATTGCTTTAAATCATCCTACTTTAAAAGGACACACAATGATTTGGGCAGTAGCAGCAGGAAAATTACTTTCTAATTTGGTATTTTTATACTTGGTCCCCTTGCTCTTCTTGCATCTCTTTTTCTGTGTAGGTCAGGAAGCTCCATATGATCAGTTTAAGTCCTTTCTCTGTCTCTCTGCACTGATGCTGACTTTGCAGCTGGTAGAGGAAGCCAGGAAGGGTAAGGGCAGCCCCTTAATGCATTTCACCTTTGCGAGAGTTGAGAGGGCGTATTGATTTAGTCTCAGTTTTTTTAATGGAGGCATTGATTAACTTTCAAAGCAGCTATGCAAATCACAGATCAATGGCTTGTCCCCTTCTTCTTGCCGCTGCAGGAACCCCAAAGAGATGGAGCCAGCCGGCCCCAAAGGGCCATCTCACCCATTCCATCCCTTCTCTGTCATTGTACATGAAAGAGAGGAAACAGAGCAACATTTCTGTACTGTGCAGCATTTTTGGTCAGTTGAATGGGAATTCAGAGTGTCCCAGGCACCAAAACTGGTTTTGCTCTTTATGACTTTAAAGGGAAGGTTTGCTCACAAGCCAGAACCCAAGTAGTCATTACTCCTGATGATGCTCAATACATCATCAGTACTTGTCTCCCATTGCTGTTGCAATGCCAATTATGATAAGTTAGACTTTATTCCTCTAGCAATGTCACATTATGGAATTCACCATGTCTTGGGTAAAGGCAAAATGGTTCTTGTTTGTGATTCTCAATTTCACACATGTTTCACTCACACAGAGAGAGACAGGAGGGAAGTCCAGTCTAGGACCATCTCATCCCATCACCTATTGTGAACAGGACAGGTTACAAGCAGTCCTAGGCCCATTTTGCTGCACAGAAAGCATTATAGTGAATTTTTTTTGACAAGGCACTGGAGAGGGAAGGGGTCCAATCCCTCACATGTCCCCTTTGCTCTTAGAAAGAGACTCTGCTCCTCCTTTCTCTGCTACCAAGGCAGGCCCAGATTTAATGCACCTGCCACCATCATGGATAGTTTTGAGACCAATATATCTGCAGGAGTCTATCTGCAGAATGGGCCAGAAGCTTTAATGATGGTAGCTTGGTACTTGGGAATCTGGGAGGGAGCAATGAGATGTTCTAGAGCGGGGCCAGGGAACCTGTACCCCTATGTTGCTATGTTCCATTAGTCTCAGCAAGCATGGCCAATGGTCAGGTATGATGGGAGTTGTAGTCCAGCAATAACTGGAGGGCTGCATGTTTCCTGCCCCTATCACAGAGCAAAGTAAAATGGTTTTAGCCGTCACAACAAGTTGATCAGACTTAACAATGGAAGTGATTCGGTTATGCAGTTATATTGGAAGGATTGGCATACTGTAAGAGACTCTGAGAACCCTGTGGGTCTCAACTGGACTCAACAAACCTCTGTCTCAAATCTCCAGCTGCAGCATGTATTTGCTGCTGCTGTGGAAGTGCAGGGAATATTTGTTTGTTTGTCAATTGATGATTATCCAATTTACTCAACAGAAGGCCTCTAAGGGGCTTGCAAAGAAAAATCTAAAATATTCATTTGAAATAAAAATCAATAAAAGCAAACATTAAGAAAAAGTTAACATAATTTTTATATACAAACGAAACCTGCAATTTTTAAACAATTGTACATAATAAAATTGTGTGTCACAATTACATGCCTGGTAAAACCAATACCACAGAGGTGCCTGCCTAATTTTAATGAACAGGGACTTCTAAAGAATAGGTGCTGCCTATCTGAAAGATTGATTACTTGCAAGCGTGTAGCGAACATTGTTTGGCACTTGTAAAATGGCCAGTTCCATAGATTGAAGTGGTCCAGAAGGGAATCCTTCTAGTAAATAGTGAGTCAGTGCCTAGTCCCCAAATTCTAGAGTCTGAGACCTACTATGTCTGAAAAGGGCTTCTGAAGAAAAGGTGATTCTGAGTTTCATACACAAACCTTATGCATCATCAAGCTATATGTGGTCTGTGGTATCCATGCCTCATATCCACAAATACAAAGCTGCAAACTCTAATCAGTCAGAGGAAGGATCAAAAGAGACCTTGAAATTTGCTGAGAAAAAGCAGCTTTCCTGCATCACCTTTGCTGCTGAATGATTCACCCACCCCCAATGCAAAACTTGAATGAGTTAGTTCTAATCATTAGGCAAAGCATAAACACAACCTCTCCTGTTCTGCTTCTTGTGCTCAGCCAATCAGATGATAGTTTTTACAGCACATTTCCATAACACAAACACCTAGAAAGACAGGATGATAGCACCTCATTATAAAAGAAGTGGAGCATTCAGTTTACCAAAAAGAGAAGGTGCTTCCAAAAGAAGCAAAACTGTCAAGACTAAGGACATCAAGCAGAAATGCCAGCTAAATCTTCAAACCAGGGGATATATTCACCTGTGACACTAAGGGTGGAACTTCCCAGCAGGAAAAACCCCACAGGATTTCAAACTTTGCATGGGTTTCCTAATGCTAATATAGGGAGGGTATAGAGGAGAACTGGCAGGGGGTGCTTAACCCTCCTCTAATTCTCTCCTGCAAATGTTCCACCTTCCCCCAGTCATTTTAACCCGTGTTTTCCCTAGCTCCAATACTAGGAGTCAGCCTGAGGGAATTGGGGAGACTTAGGAAACTGTCTGCAATGACAACATGTGGATCTTCCCTAACACCAACATTTTTCATCTGGAATGTATCACATGTGAATATTGCTAATGTGGGAGAGAGAAAGGAAGTGAGAAAGTGTTAAACAGAAGAACGAATTTTAGCTAACGAAAGCTTCTCATCTGACCTACAGACACAGGAAAGGGTCAAAGAAACTATTCAAGTTGTGAAAATGGGCAAAACATATAGACTTGCAAACTGATGAGGATCATTTTCCCACTTTGTAACCAGCTTAGCTCTTATGCAAGCCTCCTCATGGCAAACGGAGCACTAGGGTTTGGGTCACCAGATGCCTGAGGTTTGGTTGAGGGACATTTTGGGTCCAGACTGTCTCACTCATTATCAGTGATGCTGGGCTTAATCAATAGCCAATTGTAGCACTGCCATGTTCCAGACAGCATCACTTCAAAACGCAATGGCCTTTTTACACCAGCCATAATATACTGTATTGCGATGATCTGAAAGTTAGGAAATTGTGTTGTGCCTGAAATGGGAGGTTTTTTGAAGTAAGATGTTTAAATCCTTTGCAACAATCAAGCAGCTACTCTACATTTGATGTGCTGTAAGCATTGTATGAAAAAGCATCAAAAGACGCTTTTTAAATATCCTTCTTCATGGGAAGAGAGACACTTCAGAAGCAGTTGCAGTTCATTTGCAGGAGTAGACTTTTCTATTTCACTTATACCTTGCCCTTTGACCTTTACAAGGCTTTTTGGCCCTTGACTTTGGCTGTGCACAAACCTCTCGTTTTGCCCTTGTGATCTGGCCTCCTCAGGCAGGGCAAGGGGGCGGTGTATTTCCAATCTGAATAGGACCATGGGAAATCCTTCAGTGCTGTGGCCATGAAGCCAGTGCTTAAAAGGCCACTACACTCCACAATGCTTTCTCTTTTTAGCCATTCATGAGGACAACTTGAAACCTTTCTCAAGCTCTGCCCCTCTCCCTTTTGTCCTATCGATTTTACAAAGCTTGGAAGGCAGGGACTGTATCACTTGCTTGCTTGCTTGCATTTATTTGTTTGTTTGTTTGTTTGTTTGTTTGATTGATTTCCATACTATCTTTCAATCCAGAGTTGGCTTACAAGGCTTGTTCTATGGCCTGTCCAGTGTCTGACACTTTGTTAGAGCTGAATAAACAGGAGCAATAAAATCCAAGACGCAACAGTAACAGAGTAGAATAAATCAATGGTCTCAAACCTAGTATGCCCGCGCTAATGGAAGCTGCATTTATGTATATAGCTAGGGGCTGGTTAAGATGCTTTTCTGGGGTATGTTATTTCATAGGAACCTACAGTTCACTCCTCCATCACCATTGCCACTGACACACACAAAACACTCATTTGGCAAAGTAGTGGGTCTGGAGCAAACCTGAGATGGATTATGAAGAGAAACAGTCTCTTCCTCTGGTGATGATGATGATGATAATTTGTACCCCGCCCATCTGACTGGGTTGCTCCAGCCACTCTGTGCAACTTCCAATGTATATAAAAATATAATAAAACATTAAACATTATTAAAAAAACCTTTCCTATACAGGGATGCCTTCAGATGTCTTCTAAAGAATAATAATAATAATTGGGGTACAAAGCATCCAACAAATATTACAGCGTAGATGGGCAAAAGGAAAACTAGATTTGGATGGGCAGGATCCTAAAGTAACAGGCCCTGGATATTTGACTTAAATAAAGAGAGTTATGGATCATAGAAACACCAGCGGATCTATACTATTTCCCACAGAAATTCATCCTATTACATATTCAGCACCAGATCATTCTTCTGCTCTCATTCTCATAAGAACATAAGACTGAGCCTTGTTTGATCAGGCCAAAGTCCCGTCTGGTCTTTCATCCAGTGTTCCACAGTGGTGGACCAGATGCCTATGGGAAACTCGCAAGAAGGACATGAGGGCAAAAGTCCTGTCCCACTGTTGTTCCCTAGTGACCGGCATTCAGAGGTATACTGGAAGTAGTACACAGCCATCAAGACTAGCTTCTGTTAATAGCTGAATTTGTCTAGTCCCGTTTTAAAAGCCATCCAAGTTGGTGGCAATTACCACATATTGTGGTAGCAAATCCAAGAGTTTAACTATATATTGTGTGAAGAAATGCATCCATTTGCTTTTCCTAAATCTCCCACCATTCAGACCCAACTTTCTTCACACCATGCATAATTTTACAAACTTTGATCATGCCCCCTTACTTACTTGGCTTTTTGTAGGGGGGGGAGGGGGGACAGCCTCAAACTAGCAACCTTTCCTCATAGGGGAGTTGTTTCTGCCCTTTTGATCATTCAGGTCCCAACTCTTGCAACCAGCATGTTTTGTCTGTGAAAGGCCAGGACCTCACCACAACATTATTATTCTCCTCAGCTTCTCTGAGGCAAAATAACTATATCTCTTCAACAGCGGCCAACACCCACAATATTAACAATAGTGGAGGATGGCTCGACGCACGTGAACAAGGAAAGATTAGAAAACAACCGTGTCAGTAGTCGGGGATTCACCAGCAGTAATGAAAACAGTTATCTAAACTAAGCCTTTAGACTAGGCCCCAAGCCTTGGTGGTCCAAACCCTGGTAGAATGGCTGCTTCCCTCCCCGTCTGCACACTGTGCTGTGTATGAATTACAACATCACATCACTTCTTCCGACCCATTACAACCCCGTTAATTTTAGCACTTCTCCTTCCTATAAAATATTAACATCTGTAAGTCCCCGTCTCCCCACCCCCTGCCAAAGAGCAATTGGACCCCCGACTCCTCTTCATTGAGCCACATAGACAAGGTCCCCTTATTTATCTGTCTTTGGGGGGCACGAGCGAGGGAGGTCGATCAAGAGAGCAGTAAAAGGTTTAAAGAGCATCAATTTCCATGCTCTCTTCTGCTGACTGATGGAAAGACACAGAAAATCAGCCCTGAACGGAGGCAGAACAACACATGCTGCTGCTTCTCTCTTTCCCCCCCTTTTTTGTCCTTTCCACCTTTTCAAAGGCTCTTTCTGATTTATTGTCTGTTTGGTGGGCTTTGCCTTGCCACACGAGCCGCTTTGGTGACCGGCCTCCAGCACTGAATCGCTGGTCGCTTGGCAGGCCCTGCTGGCTTGGAACTCTGCTCGAAAGCAGAGCCGTGGATTCACAGTGGGGCAGGAAGGGCAAAGAGTTAAGTACAACTGGCCTACAAAAAGCCACAGCAGTGGAAGATGCATCCCAGGCCCCAGGCAGCACGAAAATATGTACGGCAGCCAGGTCGCAGTAGCAAATGCCAGCCGTCAACACAGCCAGAATCCAATACAGCAATTATCATTCACTTTCAGAACAATTTCCTTCTCATACAGATAAAGACCATTTTAATCCAGATTATGGGCGGCTAAACAGAGCTCAGAGAGGTGGACCAAGGTTTAAGATGCATGGGGCTTTGCTCCTAATTAGAAAACGGAGAAAGATATTGACAATCAAGACAGATAACCGAGAAAAATGGACCTGACATTAAGTCAGCCGTAAAAATGTCACAGCAGAGAAAATGGTCATTGGCAGAAATAAATCACTTAAAAAGGAAAAATCTTCAGCGCCCCCCCCCCCCGAATTTCAATACTTAATATAAAATAAAGACTTGAGGTTTTAATATTTGATGTTAATGGTGCGAAAGGTTGATTTTGTTTGGGGTGGTGGGGGGAGCTTAACATTTTCAACTCTATTCTTTCACTTCAGTGACAGATTTATCCCAGAAAAATTATGTTTCGTGCTCAAACTTTGAAGGGAAAGTGGCTACGTAGATGCAGAAAAAATGCAGCGAGGCACACTTGATCCCCTAACTGGACTGCGAAGAGGAGAAAGTATTCAGGAAATGTTAAAAAAGGTGAAAGTAAGAAGAGTTTTAATAGCTCTTCCAGACATGGGGGTCTCTCCAGAGATTCATATAGAACAATCCTGAACCTCTATTTTAACATTTACAGACTTGCGACTCTTTTAAAACTTTACATCTGAAAAACTGCTTGTGTTCTCTCTCTGTTTTAGATCATTGCTCGGCTTGCTTCTTAGCTCTTCAAATGCTTAACCTTTTTATTATGTTTTAATAGAGGTCTTTTCTTTTTCAAGCTGTTTCCCTCATTTCATTCTAGCCTCTCTTAACATTGTCATTTAAATCTAAAGTAATCTCTCTTTTTATATAAGACATTTAAGTGGGAGGGGGAACTTTGTTTGTGAAACAAACTGGTCTCCTTCAAATCATGGTTGCTTTAAGGCTGGCATGCTTTGCTTGAAAGGTTAAAAATACATCTTTGTACATGTAGAACCCACTTAGCCCCAACTATTAAAGTTCATTCTGAAATCTTCAGTCAGCCCAAAGCTATATGAGAGGATGAATGTTTGCAGCAGTTTAGTTGTAAGTGAAAAGGAGAAATCACATATAATGTGGAAGGCTAGGAATTTTAAGCAGGATGCATACAGCATGTACAAATATGTATGTGCAATGTAAGGATGCACATATTTTTGCCAGCACACAGAAAATAAAGGAAGTCAGAGCTTTCAGAATGTCAGCTAATCTTGTCCCGTGTCTCACATATGCAAGGAAAGGAGCTCAAAGACTTACAATTTATTGAAGCCACAGTTTTGCTAGCACCTTGTCCTCTTGTATATGGCTTGAGCATTTGAAAGAGTAATTAACACTTACGATCTAAGTTATTTAAAACTTCCACGCTGCTCAGGGCTCCCCTGCCATACCCCCTTTATTTTAGAGAACAAGAGGATCTGCTGCCAGGTCCTCCCATGCATCCTACAGATCTGTGTTTGCTGCACTCAGAGACTGAATACAGTTGGTGACAATCTCTGCCTAAGACTCTGGGAAACTCTGGGGCTTCGAATCACATCCTCCATGCTTCCTTGTTTCCGTATCACTGAGAGAGATCCTAGCTAGAGCTATGTTGCAGGAATGCACCAGCTATTTCTAATCTAAACAGTTTGGGCATCCCTCTTCTTTTCCGCTCCTCACCACGACCACAAAAGAAAAACGTTTTTTAAATGCAACTCACCCCATCATCTGGGTGGTCAGAGAGATCAGGTGTAAAAAAATAAAACAAAACCCACACGCCTCCTCATAATCAGAGCTATCATCCTGATCCCCAGGGGGAAAGCAATGTACTATTATTACAAATATTGATTGCCACATTCTTCCATCGCAAGACCCCTGCCTTCTGAACACTTGAAATGATTTCTGGCTAACAAAGAGGACGGAAATCATTAATTACTGTGCTGCGCGCACCACCACCCTCCCCCAGCCCTTCTGCCCGCATATGCAGCCTTACCATGAGCATCTCCATCCTCTGCCATGGCATTGATTTTCTTGTTGTCCAGGATTTGCACGTGCTTCCCACTGGTCCGACTGTACAGCTGATAGGTCCGGACGAGTCGCCGGCTTAGTTGGTCGGTCACCAGGCTCTGCTCCCTCACATGCTGTGTAAAATTAGGTGGGGACTGAACAGTTACCTTTAGGAAATTGAAAAATATACAACACACCATTATAATCTCTACTCCTCCGAGAAAGGCGCTCTCGGCATGTTCCTGGTGCATTTTTTTAGAGCACTCTGAGCTGGTGCTGTGCAGAGCCAGGTTCATTATGGGTCAGTATAAGAAACCCTGGCATGGATTCGAGCCACGACTGAGAAATTGCAACCACTACCTAGACATTTATTGTTGAGAATCAAGCATGGGATAAAGAAAACACAGGTGATCCTGGAACACTTGGGACAGAATTACAACCAGCCCAGCTCCTCAGATTTCAGAAAGACTTGTGCCGATTCAAACCAGGTCACAAACGCCATGGAGCTCAAGTAGGCATGGTCCCGATCCTGCTTGCTCCAGTTCAAACCCAGGAAGGCTCTGCAGGAATCACTTTAAGGTCACCACCAGAGCAAAACTAAACCAGCTCCATCATTCATATCCGTCTCATTCCAGGCAATACAACATGCACGCGAGTGCGACGGACTTCTAGCTAGGTAATCATCCCAAGGCTTTCAATTACTGGGCTTGTTTCTGTGTCTTTGGTATTTGCTTTCCTGATCTTTCAAGTGGCCTGTTTGAGAGTTTTGCTTTGTGGGGCTGTAAGGGCCCTGTGCGCTGTGGACCAGAGTAACCAGTGACCAAAAGAAGAAGGTGGAGGGGGGGAAGCAGCCATATTTTATCCCCCTTAAACAGGGATCAGTTGTGTCAGCAGCCGAGGCAGTTCGGAATTGTCTTTGCAGCTAATATTTATGAGCCTTTCCATACACATCAAGGCTGGCTATGGGTTTCCCACCTCCCCACCCACCCCCAGCCACACATTCAAAGTACTCGTAACCCTGTTAGCAGTAGATTCTGTTATGGAACAGTTTGGCGGGCGGGGGGGCGGGGAGCGGCTATGTGTAGCTTCAGTTGTACAATGATATTGCCACTGCTCAGATCTGTTTCTCTCCTCTCTCTCACAGCCTGGTCTTAGGAGAATTCTTCCACCCCCTCCACATCTCCGATTCCTCTTTTAAGTCTGAAGGGGTTTAGTTTGCCCCTGACATTTATAAAGACGTATTCTGAGCAAATGTTGAGGAGATTTGTTCCTTTCAACCTCATGGGGTGGCAGTGTACGAAGTAACCTCCGACTCTTCTCTCTTTTCCCCCCACCCCACCCGCTGCCCATGTCAAATGCTAAGGTTATTCCATGCAAATGGGAAAAGTAACCTCCTCCTCAAAGCTGGAGTTTATAGAAGTCTTCCCTTGACAATTTTCCTTTCCTTTCCTTTGTGTCTCTCTGTGTGTGTTTCCTACAGAAGGTTCTTTTGATAATATCTCTGGATTCTTTTGCCAGCTCTGATGAGGGGACCATGTGGACACCCACATCCCTCTTTGATTTCCATCTGACGCCCCCAAAATATTACAATGTAGCTTTTTTTTACACAACTCTCATGTTCCTCCTTCATATTCAGAGTGATCTTTGTAACTCCGACTTACAAAATCAAGAGATCCTTGCAATTTTAACTCGGAACCTTACACCTGTTATCTCTCTTTCTCTCTCCCTCTCCCTCTCTCCCTTTCTCCCTCTCTCCCCTTCACTCTCTTTCTTAGGGGAAATTGCATTTGTCTTTGGCTCTCTGGATTTGCAATCAATACTGCACCAGCAGGGTTATAGATCCCACAGTATCAGACTGTGTTGTTTAATATATTAGCAGCACTACCGATGGCCAGCAAGCTAGAGTTAATAATGGTTAGAATTTCCATCCCTTAAATATTATTAAACTTTTGAAAATAATAGCAACGGAGCAAAGGTGCTTGCAATTTCAGCAAACAATAACTACCTATCTATCCATCTATCCACACACTTGCACAATGTCTGGCTAAACACTGCAGTACATTTTAAATTAATCAGCATCTATTTCTTGCCTTGGATTTTGCATGCTTTTCTCATGTCTGCGATTTCAATTTTTGAACCCAGCTTGCATCTACTTTCACTTTAACCAACCTCCTGTCGTTTAATTTTATCAAACATGTTATATTTAACGTTCTGCTGCGTGTTTCAGTTGCTCCATCAAACGCTTCCCATCAAACTCCTTATCTAAACTTTTTCTTTTTCTTATAACTGCTTTCCGTTTTTTAAAAAAAGATGCTTGGAAAAGATTTGGCTATGAGCTTCAAGCCGCACCAAATAATGTCTTAAAGGATAAAAAGTAATAAAACAGTTTCCTTACCTGTGCCTGCAAGCAGAAAGCAAACAAGTGCAGTAGCCTAGAATGATGGGAAAGCGGAGGAAAGGGGGAAAAAACAAAGTAGATGGTGAGGTGATTTCGCTTTTGAAATGGAGCAGAAATAAAGATGGAAAATCAAGGGAGACTGTTGGGGTGGTTGTTGTTTTTTGGGGAGGGCAAGGGAAAGCCGGGAAAGTCCAAATAATCAGCAGTTACTTACAAATAGCTGAATATGGACGAGAAGAGATTCATCCTGAGCGGTTTCCCCCGGCGCTGGATCTTGGCCGGTTCCCGGGACAGGGGGAGGCTCTGCTTCTCAGCCTCCCTTCTTTCGCTTAAGCTCGCCGGTTGCTTCGGCTGCCTCTTCTTCCTCGCGCGTCTCTCCGCGCCCAGCTCCCCACGCGGCACTTGCCTCCCCGAAGCGGCTCGGTCAGGGCAAGGGGCTCTCTCGGCGCGGCCAGCCCATGCCCTCGAGAGCCGCCGCCGGCGCTGCGGAAGGAGATCGGGGCCGGGAGAGCGAGGGGAGCGCCGGTCTTGCGGCGGCTGCTCCGGGGGCCCAAGCGGCGAGGGCGCGCCCGGGGGTCGGCTGCGCTAGAGCCCGGCGAGGCGCGGAAGGGGCGCTGGGCTGTCAGCAAGGCTCCGGGGCAGAGCAGGCGCCCAGGCTGCGCTGACAGTTCCTGAGCCGCGGATCGCCGGCTGCGGAGAAGGAAGGCGGCCGGGCGGCAGGGAGGGCGCTGCGCCTCTCGCTCTCTCTTGCTCTCCAAGCGCCCGGGGGGCAGTGCGCACCGGCCCAGCGCTGGTCCCTCCTCTTGTGCGCGGCTCGCCAATGTGCCAGCCCCTTCTCATCTGTCCGGGGATGGCCCTCCGGCAGACCCCCTCCTCTCTCCTCCCCCCCCGGCGGGGGGGACCGGCAGGCTGCGCTCCGAGGCATCCCGAAGGCTATCGAGGAGGCACCTTCGGAAGGCGGGGGGTGGGGTGGGTTCCTCTCGCTCACATAGAGACCCACGCAGCAGCTGGGCAGGGAAGGGGGGGGGGACTGATCACACACACATGCGCTTGTGCGTTGTGGCCTGTGCCCAGTGGCATCGCGCGTGTGCGTACCCCCGAGGCTGTCCGGGGGGTGGGGTGGCGCGGATTCCCACGACGAGCCTCGGACGCGTGTGTGACGGGTGCCAAAGCGGCAGAAAGCAGGCTGAAGTGTGCGCCAGTCTTGGAGCACGGTGGGGCGCTTTGGCTACACGCGAGAGGGAAATCGCTGTGTGTAGAGGCGAGTGTGTCTAAGCACCTGCTTTTGTGTCGCGGTGGGGTGAGAAACGCTCGTGGGAGAGATGTCGGGTAAATGTTGGGATCCGTGCCTGGGGGTGCTTTCACGGTCATTAATTGTAAAAGTATTATGCACATGGCTATGTGAGAAGGTTGTCGGTGCGATATTCAAACACACACACACACACACACACACACACACACACATCCTATGCTTTCTCTATCCATCTGCACAAATACAAGCTCGGCACATAATGGCGCAAAATGAGTGTGCCTTAGAGGCTAGGTAGAGTGCAAAAGTGAGGAATCCGTCCTTTATGGGACCTGAGAAATGTGGCCTGTGTAGGTGCACAGGTTTGAAAATAAATGCATGTCTGAGACTAGGGGAAATATACAGTATTTGCACATAGAGAGCATGTAATACTTTCGGTAAATAGATGTACATTTCACTTTTCTACAGAGAGTACACATTTCATGAAAACATAAGCACACTAAAAATATTAAAGGCATGAAAGTGCATTAAGGTGATGGTATGTTTTCTGAAAACTGGGCCGCTAGGTATGCAGATTATGTGCAGGAGCAGCCAATGGTGCTTTGTTAATGGTGCTTTGTGTGTGTGTTTAACACCCAGCACCCACAAAGCCTAATGGATGCTTCTCTCCCCTCTCCTCCCCTTCCCCAGGGCTTTATGTAGACCAAGATTGGCACTTAGCTGTGGAACCTGTTTGCAGTGCTGCTGCTCAGCACCAGTGATATGTGGAGCACACAGGCACAGGCTTCCTTCCTTTCTGCACGGTGTACATACACCAGCCTTCTCCAACCCAGTGCCCTCCAGATGTTACAAGTCTCATCAACCCCAGGGAGGACTAGGCTGGGAGAGGAAGGCAAAGGCTGCATCTTCCAGATGGACTTGAGCCCCAGCACCTTTCATTTCAAAAATTAAGCACTTTAAGAGAGAGAGAAACAATAAAAATGGCCCTGCCACTTTAGAGGACTCAAAAACCCAGGGAAGAAAATTCGATTCAAAGCCATTCTTCACACAATGCATAAATGAACTTGTGGACTCCACTGCCACAAGGCATGGGGAGAGGTATAGGCAATTAGACACATTCTGAGGATAGGTCTACCAATGAGAGCCTGTGTGGCGTAGTGGTTAGAGTGTCAGACTAGGACCTAGGGGACCAGGGTTCAAATCCCCACTCAACCATGGAGCTCACTCACTGCCTCTCAGCTTAAACTACCCAAAGCAACCTTCTTTGCTGTGGGTATTAAATGAGGGGTGGGGAGAACCATGGGCACCACCTCAAGCTCCTTAGAGAAATCGTGGGATATAAATACATAAATGCTAAGTCATAAGGGCTAAATGGAACCTCCACAGTCTGCTGCAGTATACCCCTGATGCTCTCCCGATGTTTTTAAGACTGGTTTAGGATTTTAAGAGGCCAAGCCCAGCATAAGGGAACCCAGGAACAAACTTGTACCTACTGCAGATAATTAAGAAGTATGGAGATGTGATTGGCTGAACAAGGATGAACATCGTCTAAGCTGCTGGGAAGAAGCTTCCATTGCATCCCATCCACACCACTGCATCTATATCCTGATCCTCTTGAAACCGAAATCACAGTCCTGTCAACAGAAGCCAGTGGTTACCCCATGTCAGTCGCCTGGTTGCTAGAGGAATGGGCATCTGCCACAAATAAGTCCCAGCATTCTCTTCCTTGGATCACAGGAACCCAGTTTGTGAGGTTATTCTAGCAAGACTGTTGGAGCTTCCACAATTGCTTTCTGAGATCATCCTGTGAACACACCAGAAAGCGTTGGCCAAGCATCTTTTTCAAAGGACAACCCAAGACATGAAGTCCAAGTGGAATCCAATAACCCATTCACAGAAGAGGTGGGATAATAAATTCAGGCATAATTGTTACTGAATGACTACCAGAACTCCTTGCATTACTCCTCCAGTATGGTTTCACAGGCCCATGTTTTGCCAGGGTAATTCGTTTTTGTTGAAAGACACCAGCTGTGTATTTGGGGGAGAGGTGTTCATGTGCCCATAAAGAGGGTCTAAAGACCAATCCCATCCAAAGCGGAAAGCAGGCATTCTCACAAGTGCTGTAGTTTTGGTTTGCTACTCTGTCATGCCAGCCACCACCACATAAAGTTCAGCATGGGGCCCGGACTTGACTTAAAACTATTATGCACGGACTTTGGGAAATCTGGTTTTGTGGATTGGGACAACCAGTGCAAGCGAACTGCAGCAAGTGATAGACATTAAAAGAATTAGAGTAAAGAGCAAGACTTTCAGGAGGGGGGAAACACACCACCAAAACAAATAAATACACTGCAGTGCCCATTATCTCCACTAAGTCCCATTATCCACTTACCCTTCCTCTCTTCCTTTACTTTCAAGGCAGGCTAAGCCACAGAGGCGGGGGGGGGGGGGGAGAGAACATTGGTGGCACAAATATCCACAAAACTATTAAAGCCAAACTCAAGTCATTTTTCATTTTGTCTGCTGCTTTCTGAAGCCAAGCCCAAGCAACAGAGCAGGTCAGCTAGAGGGGGTGAAAGCCCCAGGAGGGTTCGGAAGCAGCACACCTTCTGCTGGAGAGGTAATTCTATCTGCTCTGTGTACTGATAAGGCCAGAAGTTACAGCTTCACTAATTTCCCTTCAAACTGGAAACAGAGGAAAGTTGGGGCTAGGCAGAAGCACAGGACTTTGCAGTCTCATTAACTTTGTGCTTTTTCTGGGAACGGTAACATTTTCCCCACTCCCATGCTAGGAAAAAACCCAACCCCAGATCACACCCACGTTTGTTTGTATGTGTGTGTGTGAGAGAGAGAGAGAGTGTAAAACCAAACCCCATATATATATGCAATGTAACACCCCAAAACACTTATTTATCTAAACTCAGTTGTCTCTTCCATGTAGCACTTAGTCAGCTTTAATATTAGTTGTTTTTGTTGCAACATCCTAAAGTCTTGTGGCACCTTAATGTTCAAGAGATGCATTGTGTGGCTTGAGTTGTTGCCCACCAAACTTTATGCCACAATGAATCTGTTGGTCTTAAAGCAGGTATGTCCCAAGTGCTTTTTGGGGGCCTAACGTGGCCCTCCGGTCAGTTTAATCTGGCCCCTGTGGCAGTTTATTTTCTAGGGTGAAATCCTAAAAACAACATCAATCCCCCCAAAACAACTCCAACCCTAAAAAAAGCTCAGCAACTTTGGGGTAAAATCCTAAAAAAATCTCATCAACCTGAATCCTAAAAAAAGGTCAACAACTTTTTTGGGCCCTTTGCTTGGCCCTCACAGCCCTTCACTTCATCAAATCTGGCCCTCTTTGAAAAAAGTTTGGAGTTCTATCAGACGCTTTGTTATTTTCTCTTTACCAATACAACACTCGGTCAATAGCAGTCTTGCACTCTCTTCAGTTTGGATATAATCACCTGAATGCTATGGTTACCCTCCCATGGCTATTTTGGATAAATTATTCTATTGTATTTGTCTTTGGAAGTTATGTTTTCATTGTTCTCTTTTTTTAAAAAACCCAAAACCATTAAAAAATAATAATTTTTAGTTGCTAAATCAAACAAAAAAATCCTTTTAAACGAATATAACTCAAGGCAACATTTGCAAAGTGTACAAAACTCAACTGAAAGTTTTGTCAAGCCCAAAGTTATTATAAAGAAATATTTCCTGCCAGGTGAATGCAAACCATTCAACCCAGTATCCTGTCTCCACTGCCTCCACTGCCACATCTGATAAAAACCTGAGAAGCTACAGGGTCATCAGACCCATCCATTGTCTGTCTCTCCTAAATATTTAGGGATACCTTGCACCCCAGTTGTTTATTATCATCATAATCATGATCATAATCATAATAGGTTTTCAGTCACTTCCAATAAGGATATACTAAGAAAAGAACCGATATATACATAATTGTAATGTAATGTTAATCTTTTAGCTTTCTGTTTCCAGTTTCCATCAGGACAGAGTTTTAACCAATTGTCTGTCTAAAATGCAATGGGGAATTGGAACAGCAATACTTATTGAAAACTAAAGTTATGACATATGTGTAGCTTCCCCAGTAAGTACTGCTGTTCCACTTAGGAGTTAATTTCATTGCATACCAGTAAGACTACAGCTTGAACAAGCTGAGAAGGTTTGGATTTGGTGAGGCCACCAAAACTCAATATTATTCTATTTGTAGGTTGGATCCAGTAGGTTCATAGTTCATGAATCCTGACTTCGATCCAAAAAACATTTTCATAATTCAAACTGAGCCTGATTGCAAGTTAACGGATGTTTTCTATGCTCACATGTTCTGCGTATGACTAAGCACCCAAACTCTGCCACCTTTGCACATGCTCAGATCTCGCTTGATATATCTGTTTACTTTCTGAAGGAAGTTAAAAAGTCCCATTTGCAGTGCACATGAGCATGAAATGATTTTGACGTAACAAATTAGTTACTCTGTGCCAAAAGTACCAAGCTGTTTAAAAGTTTGGATTTGAAACCATGCAACAACCAATCAAGCAAAAGGCATGTGGAAGAAACAAATCAGAAACAGCCAGGGATGG